CCGTTAAGAAGTCTGTCCAACATCCTCCCCATGCCGGTCAGCAATCTGAAGGACCTGGGGTTTCCGTCCTTCTTCGGTATCCATACGACCTTTGTCCCCTTCCATACTTCTGGGAAATGCTCCTCCCCAGGACAGGAATTGAAGAGCTCTAGCATGCATTCGCCTTTCCATCCACTCCAGTCGCCTTCCCGTCGAGTAGCTGCTCAGCTATCGCTCGCAGCTCCCCGATCGAGAATTTCGGCTGCTCCTCACCCCATGCCTCTCTCCCTCTCTCCCTCCCTTGCCTTCTGTTGGGAGTGTCGCTCGAAGGATCATCATTGGGGAAGTACTTATTCAGCATACTCAGCATACCTCAACCATACAATTCTTGCATTCCCTATCATTCGTATATACCTATTCCTTTCTCTCCTGTACTCACTCATCCTTCTTGTCTTTTCTTCCCCATCTCTCATACTCTAAGCTTCTCTTCTCTTTCTCCTAACGTTTCTTCGTGCGCCTTCCAGCTCCACGTTCCACCATTCCCTCTCCGTTTCAAACATCTTTCCACTTTTAAGTATATATCTCTCACACGCTTCTTTCAATTTTTCTTCAAGCTGTGCAACTTCCCTGTCAATCTCCTCTATCGTATCCAACCTTACTGGATGGTATTCGGAACTCATCCGATTCATTCCCACCCAGTCGGTTGCTCTTATATTCGTTACTATCACCCTTCCCGTCTTTGATAACCCCATCAAGCGAAATTCAATCATCCAGGTCGACCCAACTTTCACCCCTGTTGCTGGAGAAAGTGGCAGGAGTTTCGCAGTCATTTTCTACCATGTACCCCCTTTCCATTTCCCATTCTAGCACGTCTTCTCCCCTTTTATCCGTGATGTGACCACCCTATGCAACATTCATCTCCATTCATCAAAAATTCTCCTAATCCCAACCATTCTAGTTGTCATCAGAATCACTTAAAATTCTAAAGTGATCCTCAAACCTGATCTATTCGAATGGTTGTAATCCCAACCATTCTAACATTTCTTCTTCCACCCGGCTCGCCATACACATTCATGAATTTTACATTGCCTCTTTCATTTCCTACAATTGTTCCTATCCCGTTCATACTACTAACATTCTTGAGGGCCAAGGAATGGTGGATCGAACCCAGGTGCGAACCTTCGTTCCTCCTCCACCGTCATGTTTTATCCATCCTTCCCAAGCGGGTTGACTTTGGTGAAAATTCATTTGAAATATGCTCTTTAAAATTGGCTTTTCGTAAAAAACAAAATTTTAAGTATGGAAAAACCTATTTAATTAGGGAAAGAATCGTTGGATTTTGTTGATTATCACTCCACGTGTTACAACAAAGTTACAGTTTTGAAAAAGAAGTACAAAGGAAAATTTAAAAATTTTGTTAAAAATTATGAAGTAATTACCACTAGTTGATTTTATTCATACGACCGGTTTCGGGTTTGGCCCCATTATCAAGTACAAATACTTAGTAATGGGGTCAAACCCGAATTCGCCCGGTGGTATAACTAAAGTCAACTTGTGGTAATTAGACAAAGGTGTTTATATTCATTTCATTAAAGTTAAATGGGGTAGAAAGGAGTAATGGGGATCACTTAAGCAATAATTGAAATAAATAAATGAAATTGAACTAAATTTTTATTGCAACCGCCTCATAACAAAATCTACTTAATTGGCTTTCATTTGACATCAGTTTAATAATCATCTTTGATAAATATTGAGGTAAAAAGATCAACTATTTTGATTCCCATTGCACTGAGGTGAGCGTAATTGTGGTCAACTTGTTGGCAATGAGAATCATACAAAAATCTAGCAGAAATCGCATACATAACGCTTGGCAGACTCCCACCCCGTACAATATTCGTGACCCCATAAACCACATGAGGTACACCTATACCACACATCATTATTTCGGTCGAATTCTTGGCAGATTCAGCACGTATTCCCTGCGTGCGAATATACTGGACCAGGTGCTAGTCAAACACTTCTCACTTATGGGCCAGGCGCTAGACAATCAACGGCGGTAGAAGTTTCTGGTGGCGTAGGTGGTAGCAGTGAATTAACTTGCATTGATGTGCCAGGTACTGAAGAGCTTTCTAGGCCTGGCGCTGAGCTACTAATTGCAATTGACTCATCAAAGTTTTGAGTGGCAGCAGTTTCTGATCGAAACAATTCACCTGGTAGAAAATCTTCATCACAAAATACGTCGGGATTGATTGGATAAATACCTGTAAGTCTAAATTCCGACTGTCCGTTACTAATGGACGCAACGTTATTAAATGCCTTGCTCAATGAGGATGCTACTTCGTAAGGTGAGATCTGTTCTGTGAGGTAACTTCTCATGTATAAGTCGCATTCTTTTTCATATGCCCCTTCAAGTGGTCTAAAAAACGAAACGTCGAAACCTTAGCGGCTTTTTGTATAGAAAACCCATCTTCTCCAATAAGTTTCAACGCTTTATTCAAAGTGTCAGTTGACCAGTAAACTTTTCAAAACACACCTGTCATTCCCTAGACGCGGCGCGCTCGCAGCTCTAGCTGCGGGGACGGCAGTAAACGCGTTTCTAGCGGTTATAGTTTTGGAGATATGTTAGTGACTATCATTGCTCGCTGATTCCTATTACCCGGTCTTCCCCTACATATGATTTTTACTCAACCTTAACCTTCAAAAGACACTTGTATAAAATTCACAGCTGTCGGATCATTTACTATTTTGGGGAATAGAACATTTTGAGTGAAACAACTTTTGTTTGAAGAAAATGTATTAAAAAAACATTACTTTTGGATGAAAAAAATATTGTTGAAGCCAAGGCTTGGCAAGATGAACATTAATCGGACTTTGCACAAGTGTCATATTGAAATTTTAGTAAATGTTAATTGTTGTGCAGATTATCAAAATATTTTGAAATAAAATGAGATTAGAATATTCCTATAAGGAGATTGCAGATGCCCAAATTATTAATGTATATGATATGCACACAAAACTATGTTTTTTATGGCATTTTCTGATATTGTTGCTGAAATTTCGAGATAAAACGCGCATACCACTGATGTCTGCCGCAGTAGCAGACGAAACTTTTGATACTACAAGTTCCATTAGACCACGGGCTACCAGCCCGAATTTTGTTTTCTCCAATCGTGGCTTCGGCCGTGAAAGTGTGATCTTATATTTTTCGAAGGAATTATTCAATATTTTTCTATTCTAGGGCAGAAAGTCCTCAGGGTGTGTTGAATAGAAATATTAATCATTTTTTTCCTGTGTTAAAGTAATCTACTTTCATTACTTTTCACCGGCCTATATTCAATTTGCTTTCAGGGCCAGAGTTACGATTAGGGAAAACAAAATCCGGGTTGGTAGCCATAGATGAAACGAACTTGTGGTACCAAACGCCGTTGTTACGATTAGGGAAAACAAAATCCGGGTTGGTAGCCATAGATGAAACGAACTTGTGGTACCAAACGCCGTTGTTCATATGAAATTAGTTATTTCAAAGGGGCTTTTTCTCCAGTTTGTATTTAAATGAAACTTCTTTTCATGATTTACGCTAATATCTCGTGAAAATATTTCAGTTTCAATTGATATAAAAACTGCCATCCTTGAAAGAATTGCCTCTAAGAATTGTCGACCAATTTCTCTCTTCGAAATGAAAGGAACCTTTATAATCATATGGACGCGGGTGCACTTCATTTTCAACATTCAATCAACTATCATATAGAACCCCTCAGCCGAAGTCCTCAACGTTGTTGAAAAAGACCTCATGCATTGGCCCATACTTGTGGTGATCTCTGCGGCTTTTCTGTGGACGTTTTGCTGAACGGTTTCCAACAATGTGACAGAGTTGTAATCACCTTGTTCATTGTCGAAAACTAAACCAAGTTCATCAGCTGCTTGGGCAGCTACCCCAAAGAAAAATACTTCAGTTTCTGCTCTCTCATTGTTGCTGACCATGCAAAGAAGGGAATTGAAACTCCTGATGACTTTACAGGCTCCATCCAGTACCATTCTGTTTTGTAGCCTCTACAAACTCAAGAGTCTATGCCCTCTCTGTTGCTGGGAAAAGAACAACCGTGGATCAGATGATTTGGGATGCAAACTCCTATGAATATTCATCATTTTTCAGATTCTTACGTCAAGTTGATACAGCTTCTTACGGTTCCACTTCACTACTTCAAACGAGTAGACTAATATTGGAACGACAAGCATATTCATAGCAGCAACTTTATTTTCCCCGACAGCTCCAACGACCAGATCTGTCGGAGTTTGTGCTGATACTTGCCGCGTAGAGTATTATTCACTGCTTTCACATCTTGAAAGTGGCCTTATTCATCCCCAAGGTCTCTCTGGCATCCAGATGGTGCAAGTTGCTTCCGTCTCTTTCAAGATGGACCGTTGCACATTTATCTATCCCAAATTTCATACCGATAGTATTCGTGCACCCTTTCATAACCCTCAAGGACTTATGAAGATCCCTACCTTCAGAGACATAAAGTTCAAGATCGCCCATATAAATGAATGGGTGACCTTATACCTCCGGTTTCCTTGGGCGCCGCATTTATACCCTCGAGTACTCCTGAGCGCAACGGATAATGGTAATAGATAGATGCAGAAAAGAAGGGGACTAAGGGATTCACCCTGAAACACACCTCTTCTAAAAATTACCCACTTTGGACTCGAGCCTGACCAGATGTTATGGTGAAGCGAGTCCACCAGAGTCCGTCAGTTATTCAAGGCATCTCACTATTTTGTCGGGTACCGCAAGGCATTTGAACAAATGCAACATGAAGATTATTATTTTTACTTATTCTTTCATAGATTTCGAATCATATTGAAATCATATCAGACAATGGAATTCCGAAGTAGTAAAATTCACCTCAATTATTCATTAATTTGAAATTTATAGATACATTTCAAAAATTTTCAAAATGATTAGTAAATTTTAATTATCATTTGCACTACACATTGCATTATCGGCATAATGAAACTTTTTCATTTCTGATTACTTCTTCCAGAATGACGATAGGGTATCAATAATGGCTTCACTAGCTCAGTCTGACTACTGCAAAAAAGAAAATTTGGACCCCGAAGATCCAAGATGTGCCAGAGTTATGATTTCCGGAACATTCAAAAAGGTTTGCCGATAAAGAATATAACTGAAACTTATTTGTTTCATTATTATAAATATTTTTCAGATTGAAAAATCTTTCCCAGAATATGACTTTGCCCTTATGTCTTTGTTTGAAAGACATCCAGTAATGAGGAAATGGCCCAAAGGTAAGATTTTTATAATGATTCGTGTGAAACTCCGCAGTTGCTTCTGGACATTTGACTTTGAAAAGATGTTCTCTTCAGAATATTTATCTTGAACGACACATTTTAATGTGTACATTCAATTGTTCTGAAATTCTCTATTTCCTGTACAATATTCATTTTATTAGAATCAGACAAATATTGATGGTGGATGATTTAGTGGATTTTTGTAGATTGTGTCTCTTGTTGATGTCATTGATGGCGTCTTCGGAAAGATTGCATCACTTTCTTTTGGTTAGACTTGTTATTCCACCATGGATTCGTAGATCAGTTATCACCACTGATGGTGAATCTACGGCAGGTCTAAATAGCGCTGTATTGCGTTGGATCATGAATACGTTGTTATATTGACCTGGTGAGCTGTAAACAATACTGTTTGTTAGTAACCAGGTGATTCGGCGTCACCTGACACGGCCACTTCACCGCAAATGCGATAACATGAAAATAGTTAACTGATAAGAGATGTCAAAATGTGTTTTTATAGAAATAATAAATTTATCTATTTTATTTTGGAAACAGTTCTACAAAAAACTTTGTCTAATATTTGTGTTGAAAGTAAGTTTTATTTTGTTCGTGAAATTGCTCAACTCGCAAACTTTTTTACTCACAAAATAAAATCTTACTTTTAACACTCATATCATAAATATATATTTGTTAAATTTATAACAAACACTTCTTGTTTATATCATGTCATGCAACCACCCTATCTCGCGTATGATACCTAATACTACGTAATACCTAATATCACGAGTTGAGTTATTCTTTATTGATAAGATATACTACATAAAACAAATGAGTGCATGAGTATATATGATTTATATTGAAATAGTTTTGAACACCAATTGTTCATGTCAAAGGCATCTGCTACTATGATAACCAGCATAGTGTGCTGGGAAGGCAATAATAATAACTCTTCGAAGCACCTAGGGAGCTTCACGACTATCAGCAGTACCATCAGTCATGTACTTTGGCAAAATCTATCCAACTTCAATTAAAAAAATTCCAGAAAAATGTCTAGTCGACGTTGGGTTTGAACCAAAGACGGTCCGTCGCAAAGTCAAGCTTCGACATCGAACGAGACTGGTCCTCTGTCTTTCTGTGCAACTTTCACTGTGAGACAACAAGAGACTCAAAACAAAGCATTCGTCATATCGCCTTTTCTTACTAAAGCGTCTTCTTTAAGGAAAGTTTAGTCCACACATTCGCAGTTCAATCTAGCAGCATTGATGAAACCTCGACTGGTCTAGTTTCATATTAAACATATTCAGGGTGTATCGTGCATTATGACTTCAGGGGATCTTGATGTTTGGAAAGTTCATATATGAGGTCTGTTCGAAAAATGAGCTGAATTTCCATTTTTCTCAATACATTGATCAATTTCTATTTTGTTCCCTTCAAAATAGTCCTCCTCAGATATAATACACTTATGCCAGCATTTTTCCAATACTCGAAGCAGTTATGATACATACTTTTTAGTATATTCTTGATCTCTCAGCGATTCGATTTTCATCTCCTCAAAACGCTGTCCTTTCATGGGCCTCTTCAATATTGGGAACTGAAAAAAGTCGCAGGGGAGCAAATCTGGTACATACGGTGACTTATTGAACGTACGACCATGTGGTAAAAACTCCTGATGCACTACACTACGGTTATCGAAGAACAGTGAGCAAAACCTAGACATTTGATCACCACATTTTTCCTAACCACATAATCACTGGCGTCGTGTCACGTTACGTAACGAAGCGGTTTACCCTCCCATAAGAAGTTATCACTTCAAAAAATCGCTAATCAAATGTGCGTAGTTTGCGAAATTTTAACATTCACATAAAAAAAGGGATTCTGGCCTATTCAGGCTTCAACTGTACTCAGTAAAAGATTTGTAAAAACAGTCAAACAGTGGCGTCGAAGAAAAATAAAGTTAGTTAAGTATGTTGAGTTCGTAGGGAAGCTTGGAAAAAGAAGTTTGAATGTGTACGAACCAATCTGCAATATAATGAAAATATTACCTGAAATACATGCTGGCGAATACATGCTGGAGATCAAAAAGCTCGCTGATTGCACGTCGCGAAATCAAAAACTCCAAATATGTTGATGCATGTCGACTTGTAGGAGATCAAAAGCCTAAGATTACGAGACCACGAGAGCAAATGTTTTGGATTGCGAAGCAGGTCTATGCATGATCAAATATTATGAGAGTCAAATCAAAACTAGAATGCTGATAAAGCTTGAGTGAAGAATAAAATGGTTCAGGACAGATTACGTTGTTCAGTGAAAATGTAATAATGTGCATGAGTCAATCTAGGCATATGCAGACCTGCAAATGGCAAATTCACCATCGTTGGAAGTTTTTGACTACAATAATATTCTTGGATCCGTGAGATTAGGTTGGAGAGATGGAAGCGAGCCATCAAAACAAATTTGATAACTTTCAATGTATGAGTTGTGGACATTGGAAAAAGTGCATGATAAAATGAAGAGCCTTGGTAGTGCTCCCATTTTGATCTAAAAAATTACCTCTAAAAGTGTTTGGACCATCCCAGTGTCAGACTCCAGTCAACATTAAATCTTGAACGGTTATATTTCATGTCATGAAAATACGATCAGAAAAATTTAACTGGAAAATTGGTATTGGTCTTTGAAAAACCCTGTAAGCCAAATTCCATAACAGATTGTTGCCGCCATTCCGGTGGACAAATCTATTATACTTGTCTGTGAATTATACCGAATAGCTCTAGTTTTGCTAGAAAAGAAAATCGAAGAGTATCTTAAGGAATTAGTTGAGTCCTGAATAATTGAAGTTTTCTTATTAGTCAGTGGGCTATGCTTGAAGACTGGCAGCAAACAAATCTAAAGCAAATGAACTTCAAACGTTCAAGCTAGTCTCGATATACCTACACAGTAGGTTTAATGGACTGACTCCTATCAGAAAACAACTATTCCTCTGGCTAATACCACGAAGGGCGTTGAATTATATTCGACAGGCGTCAGTGCAGGAATCTTCACAGAAAATTTCCTACATATTCAATTGGCAATACAACTGAAAGAGTCGACCTTCAATTCTGGAATAGGCACACTTGCAGACCGGTTTCGGACTTATTAGCCACTCATCAGTGCAAGATAGTGACCATCATCGACCTAAAGTCAATGATATTCCACAATTGAAAATCGAAATTCTTTCACAGTATTTCATTCCTCTTCCGAAGTTGGAGCGAACATCACAAAGTGTCACTCCATCTAGTGGACGAGGTATGCCAATTGCATATGCAGGAAATTTTCTGTGAAGATTCCTGCACTGACGCCTGTCGGATATAATTCAACGCCCTTCGTGGTATTAGCCAGGGGAAAAGTTGTTTTCTGATAGGCGTCAGTACTGTGTAGGTATATCGAGACTGGCTTGAACGTTTGAAGTTCATTTGCTTTAGATTTGTTCACTGCCAGTCTTCAAGCATAGCCCACTGACTAATAAGAAAGTCTTTCTTCCTTATGTAGAGAAATCGGGCAAATTATGGATGTGCAGTTGTTTAGGACCTCGTCCACTAGATGGAGTGACACTTCGTGATGTTCGCTTCAATTTCGGAAGAGGAATGAAATACTCTGAAAGAATTCCAATTTCCAATTGTGGAATATTATTGACTTTAGGTCGATGATGGTCACTATCTTGCACTGATGAGTAGCTAATGAGCCGGAAACCAGTCTGCAAGTGTGCCCGTTCCAGAATTGAAGGTCGACTCTTTCAGTTGTATTGCCAATTGGATATGTAGGAAATTTTCTGTGAAGATTTCTGCACTGACGCCTGTCGGATATAATTCAACGCCCTTCGTGGTATTAGCCAGGGGAATAAATGTTTTCTGATAAGCGTCAGTCCATTAACCTACTGTGTAGGTATATCGAGACTGGCTTGAACGTTTGAGTTCATTTGCTTTAGATTTAATTGAAATTTGTACATGTATCAATCTGAAATGTTTACTACTTGCCTACTTTTCTCGAACTGCGGCCCTTGGAATTCGGAATTGCGGGCTGAGGATTCGACGGTTACGACATAACGTCGTAAAATTCCCACATTTTTTGTGTGAGATGGAAAAGTGGAAAGCCAAACCCTTTCTTTCCCAAAAAATTATAGTCAATTATAGCCAAAACCTTCCTTCCCCAAAAAATTATAGTCATTTGTAATTCAATCAAATATAACAAGTTTCATCATAACTGGTGAGAATATTTATGAGTAATGTTGTTTGTTGAAAATATGTTTTTTCTGTTAACCAGCTATCGCACTCCTACGAACGACAACCCTCAGAAGTCGAAATTTGTGCGAGCTAAGAACTAACGAGATCTTACCTTGTTGGTCCTTAGCTCGATTGGAAAAAAATACAAAGCAAATTGGGTCATGTGATAAAATTAACTTTTTTATGAAATATGACAAGAAATCTTTTTTCCAAATGTCCCACTTTTGAATTTTTCTCAAAAGTTCAAGCTTTCCTGAGGTTCACAACATATAAGCATAACACCTAGAAAATAGTAGCATGAAAAAAGTCGATACGAAATGAGAAAACAATGTTTCGGAAAGTAGTTTTCAGAATTGAAGTGATTGAAGTGACGAAATAATTTTTATTACATTGAATTTTATCGAATGTAAATCTCCAAACTCTGCAGTCAGATTGACAGAAAAATATAAATTATGTGCGTTTTTACCTTATTTGTTTTTTTGTTTCAGGTCATTCGTTTTATCCAGCAAAGATAGATATTCAGCAGATACAGCTTTTCGATAATTTTGGTGGAGTCAAACAAGTGACCCCTAAGGAATACTTCGATGTTAATATCACCAATATTTTGAATATGAATTTAAATTTTGATAAAATATTTATAGTTGATGTCACTACTGTTTAGAACTCAAGAATATTCCAGGTCTTACAAAATTGAGAATTCTTCTTCAGGGTTCTCTAACAATGAATTTTCATAAACTTACCTCTAACAAAACTTATACGATTATTATCGTTTCAATTTTACAAGAAATAATTAGTTCTTAATTAAATTACTTACTGAAAAGTAATCTAATCATGTTATTATTACTATTTTAAAAACGATTAGACATATTAGACACATTAAAATAACATTGCATATGTATTACTTGTGTAATGAATATGCAAATACATAAACAGTATACGGATAATTAATCAAACCTCATCAATTCTCAGAATATTATTTTTATTCATCACAATGTTTAGTCGATGAAAAATAAACTTGATAACCTTAATATTCTGTAAGAGGAAAACAAAAATATTATTATTTCTTTATCTGAGCATTGAATGAATAACAAAAAGTGAAATACTATGACCCTAATAATTTTTAATTGATATCTAAATTTTTTCGAACCTAATAATTTCTCATGGGGATGCAGCAATTTACGCGAAACTTGTATTAAATATGAGACAGGTGAGTAGAATGAATATAACCCCAATCGAGAAAGAATTCGAATTCAATTAAGCATATAACAATACATTCCAATTAATCATTATATGCAAATATGAAAGCCGTTCAGGAAATTTTGCATTTTTGAAAAATACAACGTACACAAAGTACAAATACTAATCTTATACACTTATTTAGACTCAGAGAGCCTATAAGCCTATGTTCATTTGCATGTTTAAGAACGAGACTATGACTTACGGTATGACTTCTGAATATGGATTCAAGGACGAATAGAAGATCAAAATGATTTCCAGAAACACATTCTTTTCGGGGACGATTCCAACAACAAATGGCATTGTCTCTTCCCAGAATTGTAGGTGGTGGTCAGACGAAAATCCAAATTTTTTCATTGACATTAGAAAGCAATTTCATCAAAAAACAAATGCATAGTGCAGTATTGTTAACAACAAATCAATAGGTCCGTTTTTTCCACAACCTAAGTGGTGATACCTATTTACAGTTTTTGGAAAACAAACTAACAGACTTTTTGGATAATATGGGCTTTCAAGAACGACATAATTCATGGTTTATACATGATGGATGTTCATTATACTAGAATTGTTTTTGAATGGTTTGATGGGAAATTTGGTGAAATTTGGACGAAATGCTGATCTATGGTGGCCTCCTGGTTCGCCATATCTCACCTGATTTTTTTATGGGCCATTTAATAATGCCGAGGAGCTTGAAAATTCGATACGACTTCATTGCAGGAATATTCCAGCAAGATGAATTTAACGAGAAGGTGGACATATAGAGACATGTCGATAATTTTTTTCATACATTTGATAATGTTCAAGTTATAATAAAAATAGGCCGATAAAAAGTGTCAAAGCCATCGGCACCGCTTTCAAATATAATTGAAAACGTTGAAGTATTCGTTTTTGATTATTTTGTTGATATTTATTAATAATAATGTTCACTTTCAACTCTCATTTGTTTTGTTCCTTGGGTATTCGCGATTATTTCAAAAGGATATCATGTTTTTCGATTAATTATATATTAATAATATAGCTTTCTCAAGACTATTTCAAATACAAATTGTTCATTTCAAATGAGAGTTTTTGAATATACATATTACCATTACTAAT